AGGGTTGGACACAGGGTTGGACCCAGGCTCGGACGCAGGTTTGGACACAGCGTTGGACACAGGTTCGGACAAAGGTTCGGACACAGGTTCAGACAGAGGTTTGGACCCAGGTTTGGACACAGGGTTGGACACAGGGTTGGACACAGGGTTGGACACGGTTGGACCCAGGTTCAGACCCAGGTTTGGATACAGGCTCGGACACAGGTTCAGACAAAGGTTCGGACACAGGTTACTGACAGGTTTGGACCCAGGTTTGGACGCAGGTTCTGAATCAGGGACAAAGGGTGGGGGAGAACTGAAGGACCACTTCAGAATGGGGAGAACAATAAAGCATGAGAGGCATATGGGTAAAAATGTCGGCACAGAGAAAGGGTTTGTCTGCAAACTACCGGTGCCGAGGGGGGTCTGTGCAAGCTAAGGTCGGCACATGCATCTGAGGTCCAGGGTTCGGACCTCGCCGCCTCCATGCAGTGGCACTGCCCTGGTAACCTCTCACTGGACGGAACTCAGTTCTTTTTTTCTTGCGAGCTAAATTTCTTGACACCTTGAAATTTTCAACTTTTTAGTATTTACAACTTGGCATTTTTTTTATTTTTAAAGTGGAAGCAGTGGATGTAACGACCATTTTTTTGTAAAGGGATAGGTCAGCAACAGATGAAACCACGATCCTCTTTTTTTTGAGGAGACCACACATCCATTCTCAGGACATCTTCCAGTCGTGTCGCCCTTAACAAGTCGTCTTCTGGAAACTGCCCAATTTCTAGAAGGAAGAGACCCAGAAAAGAAAACGAAAAGAAAATTAAAAAAAGAAAGAGAGCTTGCACATGTCTGATCGGTCTCACTGAGGGCATATTACTCACAGTAGGACTTTTTGTTCTAAGCTCTGGAGTAGATTGCAGTCAGATTCGTCGAGGTCTGGCTGTTATTATAAGCACGTAGGAAAGTGCCAGTGTGAGTGTGCCCTCAGTGCGGCGAAGAGAAAGGGCCTGGTTCTGCTGCTACCTTGCCGTCTCACTGATACAGAGTAGCGAAGAGGAAGGGCCAGATTCCTGCTTTCGTTGGTGTCGCAGATTAGATCTGGGCTAGAGTGACGAAGGAGAGGGGTCAGGTCAGGCGCCTGGTATCGCGCTGTAATCTGGGTCGCAGTAGGCGACTGACTACCGTCTTCCCACGAACACAACGCACCCTCATTTTGGCTGTATCAGGCCGGAAATATAGCTTGTATACATTCATTTTTAGGGTGCGTTATGGGGGGAAGACGGTAGTAGGAAGAGGGAAGAAGAAAGAAAAAAAAAAAAAGGAGGAGGAAGGGTCCGGTTTCCACGGCCCCCTTGTCACCGATGAAATTTACATGAGAGTGGCGAAACAGCCAGCAGAAGGTTTGCTTTGTGCTATCTGGCAAGGGCAGACAGACCTGGTGGGGGGCAGAGTGGCCAAAGGTCAGCCTCTGACACCAGCAACCTGTGTGTAGCATAACTTGAGGATGAGAATCAAGGAGTGATAGGGAATATCGAGGTTTTCGAGCGGGAGGTGGGTGCCAAGCATGGGAGGTTCAACTGCAGAACCTGGGATCCAGCTGCTGCCTATCTTCCGAAGAAGTAGGGACGACATTGTAGAGGATTGGGCACGACAGATTTCGTTTGTCGCACAGTTCGATGTTCATGCTGAAAAGCCATGGATTGTGTTTGTGACCGGTATACGGCAAGTTCAGGTTTGGAACTACGAAGATGGGACGCGAGTTGCATCGTTTCAGGTGCCGTTCTGCAGTGTAGCTTATTCTGCCAAGTTCGCGGCGCAGAAGGATTGGATACTGGTGGAGGCCGAGGACAGCATCCTAGTGCTTGAAGTGCATTCCTGGGTGTCGAAGCCGAAGGTGGGGCGTATCAAAGAACTCAGGTCGCGGGGAAGTCACGTTTGTGATATGGCGGTGCATCCAACGTTGCCGTACCTCCTGACAGGATTTGACCATGAGTATGTGGAGCTTTGGAACTGGGACTATGAATGGACCCGGATCACGTTCACGGGACACTCGGCCAAAGTATGTATGGTCGCGTTTCATCCACGCGACGTGCGTCTGTTCGCGAGTGCGTCAGATGACGGCATTATCAAGATATGGGATATTGGGAAAGCGACGGAGACGGAAGGTAGCGATGTCCAGACGATTCGCGGCTGCAGCGGACTCTGTGCAATGCAATTCTGCAGCAAAGAGGAGCATCCGCTTCTGATCACGGGGCTCGTCAAGGGTCAGGTACGGGTGTGGAATTATCGCACGGGACTCTGCGTGGCGAAATTGGAACAACACAGCACCACCGTCCGCGCCGCATTCTTCCACCCCGAGCTGCCGTTTATCTTTACTGCATCGGTGGACGGGGAAGTTAAAGTCTCCTCGGAATCGGACTATAAGGTAGTGACGACGTTTTCGAGCGGGTTGAAGAACATCTGTAGCATGGCTCCCTGCAGAAACTCAGATATGGTGGTGATCGGAGGCGAGCGGTCATTCCTTGTGCTAGAGCTGGCTATACAATTGAACGAGAACGAGGGAGGGAGGGAACTTCAAGGGCAACGGACACGTAGTATACACGTGCATGGCGAAGGACAGGATCAGACGAAGCAGGCCGTTCAGGAATCAGCGTCGCTGTCGCCGAAGAAATCGACAGAGAACTTGGAAACCAATTTCGACAGCCCGCCGCCGAACGTCAACTCGGAGAAGAGGAGTGACCCGTGGGCGGCAGCTGCAGCTGCCGCGGCAGCTGCAGAATGCAAAAAACAGGAGATCTCGCGGTCCGATAGAATAGAGCTGCTGAAAGCCAAGACAAGCAGTATGATGACAAAGAGGGCAGCGATCATGGAAAGATCTGAAAAGTTCAAGCGTAAGATCGAGGAATTGGAATGCAGACTAGGACAAGAAGTCAAACACCTAGATGAGCTGAGAACAGAGCATGAAAAGAAGGAGAGATTTCAAATAGAGAAAATCCAGCAGCTGAAGGCGCACACGAGCAATATGGTGGCGCAGAGGGCAACACTGTTAGAGCGATCCGAAAAATTCAAGAGGAAGATTGAGGAGTTGGAACGTAGACTGGAACAAGAGGTCCATTCGCAACACATGCCTCCGAACCTGTCCCCGCAGCCCGACCATGAGGAACAGGAAGGAAGAGCGGAAGGCGACACGGTTCGGGAAGTGGACACAGAGAGTGCGACGCTGGCACAATGTTCCGAAAACTCACCGAAGCTGGGGATTGCAGGGACAACAGAGCAATCGAAAGAAGAGGCTGGCGGAGACGAAGGAGAAATCACAGAGAGAGATTCGACACCGGCAGGGGGGGACGTCGCTTCAACGGGGCAAACCCATCCGTTCAGGAAGTATTCTGTGGAGGAACTCATGGCTGCGACCGACTACTTTGCTGACAAGTACAAGTTTGCAGAATGCGACCCTTACGGCTGTTTTTACAAGGGTAAGCTCGACGACCACACCCCGATCATTGTAAAGAAACTGAGAGGGAATGGTGTGATGACGAATCGACCTCCACAACTCAAGCCGGAGGTCATCGACAGGCTAAGATCCTTCCAGCACCCCCATTTGGTGAAGCTCGTGGGGGTCTGTTACGAAGCGCATTGCCTGGTTTACGAGGGCATGGCGAATGAAAGCGTCAAAGACTGGATCTCCTGTGGCACCAGTAGCCCAACGAAAGGGTGCTTGCCGTGGTATACGCGCTTGCGGATTATGTCAGAGGTTGCTCGTGCGCTCAACTTCCTCCATTGTAATCGGACTGTGGGTGGTGCTTCCATAATTCACCGCGCGATCACTCTCGAGAATATCCTCGTCGATGACAACTTCGTCGCAAAGATCGGTGCTGTTGACGATGCTCTGCTTGTACCGAGGCTAGCAGGAGGAGGACAACCACAGGAAATGCGCCTGTTTGTGGGCATCAACTCGCAGTATACGGCGCCGGAGCACCTGCGATCGGGGGTGGTTGACGAGAAGACAGACATCTACGCGTTGGGGATCACGCTGCTAGAGATGCTAACGGGAAAGTTCTGGAATGCATTGGGAATAGTTGAAGGCGCGGTGGAAAATGCGGAAGCCTTCAAGGACGTGTTAGACCCGAATGGTGGGCAATGGGACGTGGAGTTGGCGCAAGAAGTTGCTAGGCTGGGGTTAAGGTGCGCGAGCTTGGAGAGAGACAATCGGCCTAAGATGACAACGGGCGAATGTCAAATTCTTGCTGTGCTAGAGGGGGTTGCTCGTAAAGCAGACATATTAAGTGCACAGCAGGCAAATGCTTCTACGGGTACGAGAGATCAACATACGAGTGTTGCGAAGAGGGCCCGGGTTGATGTGCAGAGCACATGATCCTGCGGCGGTCTAGCTTTTAGGTGGCGGCCTGAAATACCTTTGTTTGCCAGTCCTGTGCTACGGCACTGAACGGCAGTAGTTGTAGTATCAGTAGCAACAGGAGGAGGAGGAGGAGGAGGAGAAGGAGGAGGAGTAGGAGTAGGAGGTGGAGGAGGAGTGTTCAGAAAGGTGTGAATCGAGCACCGTCGTTTAGATATATCTGCAGCTTGAACCGGAGGTCGCAACTCGGTTTTAGAGGAGTTGTCTTGCTGCGATAAACGCCGTTACGGTACCCTTTTCTTTGCGCTCACCTTGTCCATTATTGACTGCTACGGGTACATTTTTCGCGTCTCAGAAAAGGTGTTGATATTTCCTAGCGTTCGTTGAATGCAGTCGTTGTCGCCTTTTACCAGGCGGATGTGTGAAAAAAACACCTGATGGAGGGTGCTTTACCTCTTGTACACAACCATTGCACAGCCATCAGGGGGGGGCGGCGCGACAAGCAGCACTTGCGACAAACAATCATCAGGTGTGTTCACGGCGCATTTCATCTTCGACTTGCTTTCCTTCCTCTGTTCTCACGGCACTTGATTCTCTCACACACTCCAGAGGTCCAGTTTTGATACCTCAGCCTTTTTGTTTTTCAGATGTCACTTCTTTTTTGGGTTTCGCACGGTGGCTATTTTTAGTACAATGGAAAGGTGAGGAGGCCAGTTCTCTTTTCTTTTATTTTTCTCAGATCGCTTTTTTTCAAATGTCACTTCTTTTTGGGGTTTCGCTTGGTGGCTGTTTTTGGTACAATGGATGACAGGTGAGCCCAGTTGTCTTTTCTTTTCTTCTTCTTCTTCTTTCTCTTTTTCTTTTCCTTTTTCTTCTTTTTCTTTTTCTTTTTCTTTTTCTTTTTCTTTTTCTTTTTCTTTTTCTTTTTTCTATTTTTTCTTGAGAATCAACGTCCGGTTTCACTCCCAACATCGTCATCTGATCAATTGTCAGATGAGATGCTGACAGGGCAATCAAAATTCGAAAGTTATCAAACAGTTTGGCACATCTTTTTTCTGTCTTCTTTATTTCAATCTTTTTTGAAGTTTTTCCGATGTCCTTTTTCTTTGTTTTTTAAACTTTTTTAAAGTTTTTTTAAGCTCGTCGATGAGTCGTCGTCACAATCTTCAATCTTGTTTGTTTTGTCCAGTGTTCCAAGACATCCTTTTTTCTGTTTTTTTTTTTTGGGGGGGGGGGGGGGGGTTGGGTGTCCCAGGCATCCTTTCTGTTCTCCCCTATTTTGGCTTTTGACATGACCTGAAGGACATGGATTTGGACAGGTTTGCCAACAAGATTCAGTTGTCCGAGCTGCTGCCGATACCCGTGTTTTCCTTTCTCGTTCCATCGATTGGAACACATCACCTCAATCTATAAACATGGTAGCGAACCCTCACGCAATGCCATCCCCTCTTCCTATTTTATGTTCCTGTCATCCTTGCTGGGTCTTACAGCGTGTATGCCCTTACAGCTGTCCAACGACTGGTCTTACGTTCTTCTTCTTCTTCTTCTTCTTCTACTTCTTTTTTTGTTTAAAACCCGGCGTTGTTCAGATTAGAAGACTGGTATAAGCATATCCCTTCCTATCAGTCCCGCTGGGTGCTCCAGTCTGTTGGTGGGGAGCTGCACCTCCGTTCTTCTTCATTCCGATTTCCTTTTCTCAGTTTTCTGTCATACTTTCCATTGCGTCCTTGTTCCGTTAGACGGATCCGAAGTGAGCGGTTCACTAGCAGTGGGTTCGAAGTTCGGACGGTCTTGATGCGGACACGACACCCCCAAAAGTGTCATGACTTGTGACCATGCAGGGGTGAGAGATAACCAAGGGTTCAATGCAGCTGGGATGGCACTCAGGGGGCGAGGCGCTAGCTAGTCTCCCCAAGTGCATGTTGTTGATTTTGGGAGGAAACACCACCGCTGCAACAAAGTAGGCGCATGTGAAAAACACGTGGCGCCAGTTGTGTGCATGCAGCATCGCGTGGATGCTCGCCCTGAGCAATGTAGCAGCCGTGGTGAGGCGAACAAGAAGCAGAGAGGATCGAGAGATGGGAGGACAAAGAGGAGCCTGACCTGCCCTGTGATGACTGAGAAGTAGTAGGAAAAACAGGAGGGATGGGAGGAGGAGGAGGAGGAGGAGGAGGAGGAGGAGATCGCACTGCCAGTAGCTGATTGACAATGGCAATGACTATAATGGCTGTTCCGACAACTGCTGTGTTATTCTTAGAAGCCGTCTTCAATGCATTCTGCCATGAATCAAATCACACAATGTCATGGGGAGTATAATGCAGGTGCCAACCAATGGGCTACTGCTTTCTGTATGAGATTTCCTTCTTAGTTGTCCATATGATTCATTCTGTTGTTCGGTGGTGATGCGTTTGTTGTGCCTCGTTCAATTGCACTTCACATGCCTTTCATGCTGCCACTGGCCCCTCGACACAGTTGGGGAGCAGGGGTATAGAACGGAGGAATAACATCTCCCAAGACATAATATTA